GGGTTTAGGATTTATGGATAGGGTTAGGGTTTTGTGTTTAGGGTTAAGGGTTTAGAGTTTAGGATTTAGGGTTTAGGGTATTAGGTCTAGGGTTCATAGTTTAAGATTTACGGTTTAGGGTTTAGAGTTTGGATTTAGAGTTTAGGGTTTAGGATTAGGGTTTAGGTTTTATGATTTGGGGTTAGGGATTAGGATTTTGTGTTTAGGATAGGGTTTAGGGTTTAGAGTTTAGGATTTAAGGTTTAGGGTTTAGGTTTTTAGGTTTTGAGTTTAGGATTTAGTGTTTAGGGATTAAGGTTTAGAGTGTATGATTTACGATTTAGGCTTTAGGGTTTAGAGTTTGAATTTATGATTTAGGGTTTCAGTTTATGGTTTAGGGTTTAGAGTTTGGATTTAATGTTTATGGTTTAGGTTTAGTGTTTAGGGTTTAGGGTTTAGGGTTTAGGGTTAGTATTTAGGGTTTTGAGTTTAGGATTTAGTGTTTAGGCTTTAGGGTTTAGGGTTTACGGTTTAGTGTTTAGGATTTAGGGTTTATGGTTTAGTGTTTCGATTTATGGTTTAGGGTTTAGGGTTTAGGTTTTAGTGTTTAGGTTTCTGTTCTTAGGATTTAGGGTTTAGGCTTTAGGTTAGGGTTTAGGGTTTAGAGTTTAGGATTAAGGATTTAGGGTTTAGGGTTTAAGTTAAAGGTGTAGGGTTTAGGGATTGGGTTTAGGGTTTAGGATTTAGGATTTAGGTTTTAGGGTTAGGGTTTAGGGTTTTGAGTTTAGGATATGGGCTTAGTTTTAGAGTTTAGGAATTTGGTGTTAGGGTTTAGGCTTATGAGTTTTGGATTTAGGGTTTATGGTTTAGAGTTTAGGGTTTAGGGTTTAGGGTTTAGAGTTTGGATTTAAGGATAAGGGTTTAGGGTTAAGTGTTAAGGGTTTAGGGATTAGGGATTCGGGTTTAGGGATTACGGTTTAGGGTATAGATTTTAGGGTTTAGGGTTTAGGGTTTAAGGTGTAAGGTTTAGGTTAAAGGTTTAGGGTCTAGAGTTTAGGTTTTAGGGATTGTGTTTAGGGTTTAGTGTTTAGGGGTTAGGATTTAGGGTTAGGGTTTAGTGTTATGATTTTAGGATTTAGGGTTTACGGTGTAGAGTTTAGAATTTAGGGTTTAGGGTTCAGAGTTAGGATTTAGCTTTTAGGGTTTAGGTTTAAGGTTTTATGGTTTAGGTTTGGGGTTTAGGGTTTAGGGTTTAGGGTTTAGGGTTTAGGGTTTAGGGTTTAGGGTTTAGGGTTTAGGGTTTAGGGTTTAGGGTTTAGGGTTTAAGGTGTAAGGTTTAGGTTAAAGGTTTAGGGTCTAGAGTTTAGGTTTTAGGGATTGTGTTTAGGGTTAGGGTTTAGGAGGGTTTAGGGATAGGGTTTAGGATGTAAGGTTTAGGGTTTAGGGTTTAGAGATTAGGGTTTTGGGTTTATGGTTAAGGGTATAAGGTTTAGAATTTAGGTTTTATGGTTCAGAGTTAGGATTTAGCGTTTAGGGTTTAGGCTTAAGGCTTTATGGTTTAGGTTTGGGGTTTAGTGTTTAAGGTTTAGGGTTTAGGGTTTAAGGTGTAGGGTTTAAGGTTGGGTTTAAGGTTTAGGATTTGGAGGTTAGGGTTTAAGTTTATGGGGTTTTGGGTTTATGGTTAAGGGTATAAGGTTTTGAATTTAGGGTTTAGTTTTAGGGTTTGGGGTTGAGGGTTTAGGGTTATAGTTGAGGGTTTAGTGTTTTGAGTTTAGTGTTTAGTTTTAGGGTTTAGGGTTTAGGGTTCAGGGTTCAGGGTTTAGGGTTAGGATTTATTGTTTAGAGTTTAGGTTTAGGGTTTATGATATAGGGTTAGGGTTTAGGGTTTTGAGTATAGGATTAAGTGTTTAGGATCTACTGTTTAGGGTTTAGGATATACGCTTTAGAGTTTAGGATTTAGGGTTTAGGGTTTAGGGTTTAGAGTTTAGAGCTTGTATTTAGGGTTTAGTGTTTAGCGTTCTAGGTTTAGGGCTAAGGTTTTAGGGTTTAGGGTTTAGCGATTGGTTTTAAGGTTTAGGGTTTAGAGTTTAGGGTTTAGGGTTGAATGTTTATGGTTTAAAGCTTTGGGTTTAGGATTTATAGTTTAAAGTTTAGGGTTTGGGATAAAGGGTTTAGGTTAAAGGTTTAGGGTTTAGGGTTTATAAGGATTAGGGTTTAGGTTTTATGAATGAGTGTTAGAGTTTAGGATTAAGGATTTAAGGTTTAGGGTTTAAATTAAAGGTATAGGGTTTAAAGTTTAGGGATTGGGTTTTGGGTTTAGGGTTTAGAATTTAGGGTTTAAGATATAGGGTTAGGTGTAGAGTTTAGGGTTTCAGGCTTAGGGTTTAGGCTTACGAGTTTTGGATTTAGAGTTTATGGTTTAGAGTTTATGATTTACGGTTTAGGGTTTAGAGTTTAGAGTTTTGATTTAAGTTTAAGGGTTTAGGGTTAAGGGTTAAGCGTTTAGGGAATAGGGTTTTTGGTATAGATTTTACGATTCAGGGTTTAGGGTTTAGGCAGTAGGGTTAAGGTTAAAGGTTTAGGCTTTAGAGTTTAGGATTTAAGGTTTAGGGTTTAGGGT